TATGTTGGTTTGGATTATGATGCTTACTTTGTGTGCATATTGGATTTACTTGGTAAAAAAATATGTTTTGACTAAAATGTCCTTTTATGCGTGTTTCAATGGTTTTTATGCATAGTAGCCATACTTAGTACGTGTGTTGTACTAACCCATATTTTCTCCCTTTTCCCCAAACATTTAGGTTCGGGCCGTTGAGGATTCAAGCTTACTTCTCAAGACACTTGGAGTTGCTTCCCCAAGTTGGTGAGTCCTCAAGTCCGAGGACAAGACCCTATGATCTAGCTTCTATGTTTAGTTCTTTGCTTATGTTGAAAGACATTGTTGTACTTTCCTATTTCAAGACTCTTATTGATGTAAGGGCTAAGGTCCCATTTTCGATACTTCTATGTCTAGATGGTACACTGTGACGAAGTTAGATTCTGTTTTTCATATATGAAGTGAAGTTGAACTTCCAAAGTAAAATTTTTAAATTTTCCGTGATCTTATTCTATGATACATGTTATGACGAATGATAAGGGCTCGTATAAGACATCTTCGAGGTCAAATACGCCGGTAACGACTAGGGGGTGCTCTCGGGTCGTTACAGTAAATATATATTATCTTTTGATAAAATATTTTGATACATAAAATCAGGTTTGTATGCATATTGTCAACTGCATATACACAATACATATTGCGTATACATTCAATTTGAAGACATATACAATAGATTGTTATAGAGTCCTGCCTTAATGTATCCGAATTCATGTTTCACATTAATTAAGAACCAAATGTTTCTTCAACTTGAATATTGAAGTGAGTTTGCATGTGTTGAAATCAATATTGTAGGTGAAAAATTGTCAAAATCAAAATTATTACCCACTAATACCTATAATTGACAATTTTCAAACTCATCATCGTTTTTCAATTCATCCATTTCATTCGAGGGTTTCACATCGTCGAGTTTTCGCCACTTTCTACATATTTTCTCTTTTGAGAATGAACTACTCTTACCCATTGAAATACAATAGAAAACACGAAAAATTGTAAAAATCCTTGCATCCAACTACAAGCTAAGGAATGTAGAAACCCTCGGTTTTTTTGAAAAAAGTTGGAGCCATTATTATTTTTTTAATTTTTTTATATATAGATAGGTTTAGATAGTTTGTTAGGTAGAGTAGAATTCTACTGCTACGTATGGAAAATTAGAAAGTACTGTTAAAACTATTAATATATAATCTTTAATATGTCATTTAGTCAATTTACTCATTATAATTATATTTTTTATTTGTTTAATTTATATTGGATAGCAAATAATAGTGTAAAGAAAGCAAATCATGTATCAATATTGATATTGGGTAAAGTGTCTTAAGCAGGTTTTACTCCTAAAATGCAAATATTCATTTAATTTGAAATTAAAATTTTTTTTTCCTTGTTATTAAATAATTTATTTTATATTGAAAACTTATAGGAACTTTTTTTTTTTTTGACTTTGATGATACAATAAAACTAAATAAAGTATTTTCAATATTTTTCATCTAAAAAAAGACTAAAATATTTTATCCATGTTTAATTCTTAAGTAAAGTACTATTTACTCATGAAAATATGGGTAAACTTGTATTTTACCCAGCTCATTTGTTACCCAATCCATTTTTACCCATATGAAATATGGTCGGGTTGAATTATTACCCATTTTCAACCCGTCGAAATTTTACCCAACCCGTCCATTTGCCACCACTAATCGTGACCCACTCAACTTTGACCTAATCTTTTTAGCCAATTCATTTTTATTAAAAGTGGAGATAGTTTCGATCAGTTTTACAGTAATTATCTTTTATATATAAGCAACAAACTTGAGCATCTTAGGGTCAACATTAGGAGTGCATTCGCTTTTTCGGTTTGGTTTTGTACTATTTGATTTGGGTTTCTTGTTTTTTGGTTTTGAAGAAGTGTAACCCAATCCAAACCGAAATAAATTTGGTTTGGTTTGATTTTTCTCTTTTTGATTTGGTTATTCATTTTTGTCAATAATTAGAAACCAAATCAAAGTTATATTTGCAATTTGAAAAAATATAATACATATATACAAGGAGTAATAATATTTAATCTCTTAAATATACTTTTCTAATATAAATCACAAGTAAAAACGTAAAACACAATACTTAAAAGTATATCAATTATAGATGTCCATACATAAAATATAAACTAAATCGTTCTTGGCCCACCATACTAATGTTTTCCTCATTTGCCATAGTTGTCATAATAGTAAAAAAAAAGGATTATGGCAACACCTCAACAAGAAGCTGTACAATCAATGTTTGATACTCAACCGTCCATATCTTATGGAACTAAAATTGGTAATGTCACATGTGTACAAAAGTTCATAAGTTCAACATAAAGATTTTAAGGGGGAAAAGAGAAAAATTAAATTACAATTTTTTTGCATTAATCAAATAAAATCAAAAAGAAAATGGAAAATTTGCAAAAGTCTGATAAAAAAGAAAAATACAATTCCTGAGTTTTTAGTGGTTGTATCTCAAAATGTGCCATTTTTTCTTCCATAAAACTTTAGTTAGTAATTTTACATGTTCGTTCAAAACTAAATGAATCTCATAAATGAACATATACAATAGAAAGGGTGCAATTTTTATTCAACAATAAACTTAAATAGAGTGAGAAAAACAAGAATGTAAAATACAAAGATACATGAACATCAAATAAACATGAAAAAAAAACTATAAATCTCAAAAAGAGGATGAAAAATATTTACCTCAGTGGCGAGAAGTAAATTTGTGAAGAATAAATCTTCTCTTATCCTAACCTTCGACAAAGATAGTTTTCCCTAAAGAAATTCAAAATCACAACAAAGTTCTGTTCCAACTTCTTTCCAACTAACTAGACATTCCTCCATTGATATAAAGGAGATTGCAAGAGAATTTCTTTTCGATCAACAGTCAACAAGAAGATTGATGTATAAAATTATTTTGATCATTGTTGAGATGAGATTGAGAAAGGCGGGGAGAAAGATGTAGAGAAGGAAGTCAGAGGAAGAGGGGTTGGAAGCAAAGACATTTTAACAAATATTAAGGAAGAGATGCCATTATTAAAGTATTTGGTACAAGGAGAGAAGCATGTGCACTCTTGCATAGGTGCAAATACTCAAACCAATTGTTAGTCCTACTGGCAAGAGTTGGCCATCAGCATTCTCCTAAGCTAAGTACCTTCAAGCTCTCACCTTACAAATCCTTTTTCTCATTACTCCAGATCAATAGGTTGAACTTGCAAGAAGTTAATACCACCATCAGGTCTAAAAGAACGAAAAAATGATTTGTTTGTGAATCTCTAATTGCGATAAAAAAAATTAGGCTACCAATCTAAAAATCAGACGTTAATCAAGACAACATGAGTCGAGGAAAACTTTAGCGGAATTTGGATTCCATCTCACCCCAAGCTCTCACCAAATGATAAATCCAAAAAAACCCACAAAATAACTTCATACAAGCTTTCCTTTTCTGTTGTAGGTTGATTAACATTTGGTTTGACAGATTGTTGTTGAGCCTGAACTTATTATAAAGTAGATGTAGACTATTACTTTCTCACAATTCTTCTGATGTTAGGACTCCCTAATTTGTCCAAGTTTAGAATATCTATATATCCCTTTTGCTGGTAGCTCGTCTGCATTATTGAAATTAATTTCCCCTGCAAAATCAAAAGCTAAGTTAGTTAAAAAATCAGCAAGACTATTGACATCCCTCTGGGAGTGCACTACTCTTACTGTTAAACCTCTAAAAAGAGATCTAATCAATTTAATCTCCAAAATCACATTCCAAGGACTCTCCCACGTCCCTTGTAAAATCTGAACCAAGCTCCACGAATCAGTCTCCAAGATAATCTGCTGGTAGTTCATTTTATGACAGTATTCTAGACATTCCTTAATAGCTAATGCTTCAACCTTTAATCTAGGAACATCCTGAATTCTTTTCCAATAGCCACCGCCAAATCACCGGCATGATCTCTTATACTGAATGAAATTGAGCTCAATCCATGATTTCCTGTCGAAGCCCCAACAATATTAGATTTTAACCACCTTATTGGGGGGGGGGGGGAAGTCTCCATTTTCCACCTTATCTTCCTAAATCTGCCCAAGATGTATCTATTTCCCAGAATATTTTTTCAACATGATATTGACCCCCATAAAGCACAGTATTCCTTCTTTTCCAAATACTCCATATCACAACAAATGGAACATTATGAAATACCATCTTTGATCTACTATTGCCTTCCATATCCCTCCACAATCTTATACTTTGCTTTAAGTTCAATCTATTGTCTATCAATCTAGCAACCTTACAATAATGACTCCACACCTTATTTTCTACATGCCCTTCCTAAAACATATGCTCCATCATTTCTCTGTTTGGTACTTGACAACATCCACAATCTTCAGAGATTTGTGGATTCCAAGTATTCATAATTGTCGCAAATGGAATTTTACCCAACCAAATTCTCCAGTTCAGAAAGGAGATTTTAAAAGGTACACCTCTTACCCAAATGCTTTGTAAATCTTCATCCACCACATGTTCTTGTCTCAATCGTTCCAAGGCACTTTTTAATGAAAACTTTCCATTACTGGTTTTTGTCCACCAAGTAAAGTCCCCAGTATTCTCCTAATGAACATACCTCAACTCTTTTTCTACATGATCCACCACATACTTAGGAAGCATCTCATTCATTACTATCAGATTCCATCCATCTTCATTTAAAAAATCAGATATATCTTTTAAAGGATGACAAAATACTACCTCTGAAGGCATACAGAACAAAGGTCCCAACTTGGTCCAGCTATCATACCAAATAGTAGATGTACCACCCTTAGGTTCCCACCACAAATGTTGTTCCACTTTTTCCCTTTGCATAAACATAGCTTTTCATTGTTGAGACCCATCTCTCCATTGAACCAAGGTTGGAATCTATTTTTTACAATATTTATTCCAAAGAAAGTTGGACCACAAAGAGTTTTTTGTTCTAAATTTCCACTACAACTTTGCACACATTAAATTTGAAATGTCAAACAAATTAAAAACCTAAACCCTAAACCACCTTCTTGTTTGGGCATACACACTTTTTCCCATGTTGACCAATGTTTTCTCCTTCCTAATTCCTTAGAGTTCTAGGAAAATCTAGACAACAATCTATGAACCTCTTTAATGACACACTGTGGAGGAACAATGATAAAATATAAATAGGGATACTTTGTAGTACAATGGTCAGCATCCTCCTCTTCCAAGCTTGAATTTTGCTCCTTACTTTCTCAATTAATTCAGAAAAATGCTCCTTTCTTTTTCTAGTATGAGACACAGGGCACCCTAAGTATTTAAAAGGAAAAATACCTACGATTATACTAGTGATTTCACCTACATTTTTTGTGATAGCCCTAGATGTATTTTAATGCATGTAGAAAAAGCTTTTTTCTTTGTTCACCTTCTGTATTGATTAGGATTCATATTGTTGTAAGACCTGTATAATTTTCCTCAGATAGTATCCATTAGAAGAGGCAAAAATAACGGTCTCGTCAGTATATGCTAGATGATTCAACTTAGTACTCCACTTAGACAATCCATAACCAACAAATAACTCAACCTAAAACAAATGATATAATGCTCTAGACAACACATATGCAGCCAGGATAAAGAGAGCTGGTGATAAAGGGTCTCCTTGTTTAATGCCTCTAGTCGAGTGAAAGAACCCAAAGTTATGCCCATTGAGCAAGATATAATAATAATTATTAGCAACTAATCTCCATATCACATCTATTATCATATTAGAGAACCCCATCTTCCTTAGCACTTTCATCAGGAAAAACCAAGAAAACCTGTCATATGCTTTAGTCATGTCTAACTTTATTATCACATATGAAGGTTTTCCTCTTTTGCCAATATCTGAAACAATCTCCTGAGTTAACATAATATTTTTCTGTTATGTTTCTGCCTTGAACAAAGCCTGATTGATTAATAGATACCACCCTAGGTAAAATATCCCTCAATCTGTCATGACGAATTCTAGAAAGAATCTTGTTCATAAAATTACCCAGGCTAATAGGTCTCATATCTAAGAAAGATTGGATATTTTCTTTCTTAGGAATAAGCACTAGATTAGCATGAGTGATAGATTTTGGGAGAGTACTACCTTCAAAGAAGGATTGAACTATCCTTACCACACCCCTCTTAATTATCTCCCAACATGTTTGATAAAAGATCTCGGAAAGACCATCAGGCCCACATGCACTATCTCTATTTAGATTAAGCAGTCTTTTTCACTTCATCTTCTCCTGGTATTTCCCAGCAAGACATTGTCTTCTTCTGTAATCATCTTTGGAACGTGACTTAGTAGTGAAAAGTCAGTAGAATCCAACTCTTGAATGAACTGTTTCTGATAGAACTTAATATCCTCCTCAGCAATGTCAACCTCCTGACCAAGCTAGCACACATGTTCATTCATTATCTTACTCACCTTCAACTTATTTATCCTTCCTTTACTAGACTATGAAAAAATCTAATATTTCTATCCCCACTTTCAAACCAATCATACCCAACCTTTTGTTGCCAATACATTTCCTCTAACCAAAGATACTTAGTATACTCTGTCCTTTCCTTTTGCATCACTGCTCTATTCTCCTAATTAGGAGATTCTTTAAAGAGCTTCTCCTTAATTCTAACAACCTCTTCTCTAATCAGCAACTACTTGAATATATCACGAAAGGTTTCTTTACTCCACATAGTTTACTCTTTCTCTTGAAGTCTAGAAAAGGGTTATCAGAATAAACTAAGTCCCAATTCTTCCGTACTACATCCAGAAATGACTTATGCTCCGCCCAAAACATTAAAAATTTGAAAGGCTTCCTAACTTTGTTATCACAAAAAAGTAACATAGGTGCGTGATCTGAGCCAATCATTGGAAGGTGCTCCACCTTAGTGTGAGAGAAGAGATTCTGAAATTTTGCATTTTGTAATATTCTGTCCAGCCTCTCAAATATACAGTCATCTTCGGCTTTCCCATTGCACCAAGTAAATGGGTTCCCTTTGAAAGAGATTTGCGATAGATCGAAAGATTCTATACAGTTTTGAAAGCCTTCAATATATGCAGCGGTCAGTGGTATACACCAAATCTTTTCTTCCCCATTAAGCATCACATTAAAATCTCCTACAACTATCCAAGGTTTAGTCATGCCAGAGGATAATGAGTACAAATTATCCCATAAATTCATCCTCTACTCCTGATCACATCTATCTATCTATATATATATATAAAGGAGAAACATAGAGGAGGTGATGTGGCACCTCTCTATGGTCTCCATTCCTATTTTTTTCTCCTTCTTTTGGCTTTTTTTCTTCATTTTCTCAATAAATATTTTGTTTATTAATTTTAAAATTCAATCATATTTACTATTCTAATCATGTCTAATAAGTTACAAAAAACCTCTCTCTATTTATCTTCTCTACTTAAATAACATGCCTCTTCAACTTCTTTCTAACTATTGTTATGGTTTACCCAATCTATAAATAACAATCATCTTTAGAGATGTTCAATGTTCATTTCCATTTTTTCATTCTTTCTTTTTGTAGACAGTGAAATTTTATTGATAAATCCATATTAAATTTTGGATTAATTCATATATTCATGATATATTGATCAAGTCAAATTACTGGTTAATAAAGTTAGATTAATATTTAAGTCAAAATATATGACTTAAATAAAGTCCAAATCACATTTGGGTCAGTCCATTAAGTTGACAATACGAGCCCAACTCATGTTCTTCAAGCCCAAGGACCAAAATTGCTTGGACAAAAATACCCCTAAAACCCTAGCTCAAGCAGTCTTCCGCATACAAAGAAGTCTTTGCTCCAAGTGTTGAGCCGCAAGTACAAAAGAAGCCTTCGCTCCAAAAGTTGAGCCGCAAGTATTCCATTAAATCAAGAACATCATTGAAGAGAAGAATCTGGGGATTACATATCTTTTCTTCAAGATTTTATAAAGATTGTAACCTTCGCATAAATTCAAATACAAATACTGTTGTTTGCTTGCTATTTTCTTTTCCTATTTGCTGTATTTCAGGATTGAAACTTTAGACGCTTACAAATTAGCACGCCCAGTGGGAAAATCTTTACCTCTCATCTCATCTCATCTCTTCAAGAAAATCAAAGTTCAATAACGTCGAGATGACTATCAAGAAGATCAACTCAAAAGTTGTATCTGCATCGATATTCGCATCTGCATCTACATTTAAATCTGGATTTGCATCTGTATCTGCATCTGGATCTGCATGTGTATCCGCAAAAACTGTTGGATCTAAATTCTGCATTGCTGAGGAAAATATCCTTGATATTACTGCAAGAAGCATGAGACTTATCACAAGGAACCAAGCCAAATTGCTACGACAACAAGCCTTCCGAGTGCCGTCCGAATCTGCTATTGTCTTTGGTTCATCTCCAAAAGGTGTAAAGTCGCCTGCAAAAACCGCAAAAGAAGACATTGCCGAAATGGTTGAGAGGATTCTTGCACAATTGAACCTATCCACATCTAAAAAACCATTCACTTCAGTCGACAATGATGACTTAAGCACTGGATCTACTCCGCATAACATTTCTGGATCTCATGTCATGGAAAATAGACGTTATTCTCCATCATCTACAGTGGTGATGCAAGCGATGGTGATCGAAACTTCTACTATAGAAGAAAAACTTGCAAATTTGATGAAAGCAGTTGAAGGCCTATCAAAGTACATCAAAGGTCAAGACGTCCAAATTACCAAGTTGACAAACATAATGGAGAATATGGAGGAAAGAGAATCCACTCAGTTATGTGCAAAGCTTCATGAAACTCAGGAGAAAATAGAGTCCTCCGCAAAACAAGAAACAATTATCAACGAGTTTCAAGAGTCTGCCGAAGGTCTGATTCCTATTGACAAATTGAAGAACTTCATAAAAGAGGCTATCAAAGATAAATCTGAGTGCACGTCCAAGTCTTCTCTCACATATGTAAAGCCGTATTCTCAGAGAATTGATAACCTAAAAATACATGTTGGCTATCAACCTCTTAAGTTGTAGCAATTCGACGGCAATGGAAATCCAAAACAACATGTAGCACACTTCGTCGAAAATTGCAATAATGCTGGAACATATGGTGATTATCTTGTTAAGCAGTTTTTTAGATCTCTCACGAGAATTGCTTTCGAATGGTATATAGATCTTGAGTCTAGTTCCATCGATAGCTGGGAGCAGATGGAGCAACAATTCCTTAAGCATTTTTATAGCACAAGGCGTGTTGTGAGCATGATAGAGATTGCAAATGCCCGTCAAAGAAATGATGAACAATTCATTGACTTCATAAATCACTGGAGGAGTTTGAGCCTTAACTGCAAAGATCGCCTTAATGCAATTTTTGAGATTGAAATATGCATCCAAGGTATACATTGGGATCTTTGTTACATATTGCAAGACATAAAGCCTAAAATGTTTGAAGAACTAGCAACGCGTGCTCATGATACGGAACTGAGTATGCCTTCAAATGGAGATCAAGAATTGTCCAACTTCGAAACTTACAAAGGAAATATAATTGACATTGAGGATGAGGACAAGTTTTCATCTGAAACCAAAATTGAAGAGTCTATGTAAGTTGACGTGCTCCTTGATGTACGAACCTAAAATGCAAATCATAATTCTCATAGACGCATGAGCCTAAAATGCATGTCATGAAACTCATCAAATTCAAGCTAAATTTTCAAGCTCCAAAGCCCCTCAAATTTGAGTTAAGTCTTCAAATCAAAATACTCCTAGATCATCAAATTTGAGCTAAGTCTTCATGGCATAAAACTTATCAAATCCGAGCTAAATCTCCATGTCGTGAAGCTCGTTGAGTTCAAGCTAAGTATTCAAGTCGCGAGGCTTCTCAAATTTGAGCAAAATCTTCAAGTTTCAAAGCTCATCAAATTCAAGCAAACTCTTTAAATCAAAATGCTCATTGACGAACAAGTCAAAAAAGATGTGTCATGAAGCACATCAAATTCGAGCAAAAAAATCTTCAAATCAAAATGCTCCTCGACGCATGAGCCTAAAATGCAAGTTATAAAGTTCATCAAATTCTGTTGAATCTTCAAGTTTCAAAGCTCATCAAATTTGAGCAAAATATTCAAGTAAAAAAAAAATGTCATGAAACTCATAAAATTCGTGCTAAGTCTCAAGTTTCGAAGCTCTTCACAGTTGAGCTAAGTTTTCAAATTATGATACTTCTCAAATGCGAGCCAAGTCTTCAAGTCAATAAAAGCTTCAAATTGTTACTTTTGGCCCTCATGAATTTAAATATATATGGTCCAAAAAAATCCAATAGGTGAAAAAAGCTCCATAAAAATGAGTTAAATCTTCAAATTGTTACTTTTGGCCCACATGAGTTTAAATCTATATGGTCCAAAAAATCTAATAGGTTGAAAACCTTGAAATAAGTGGCCTAGAAAAATTAGAAGAAAAAAAAAACTCACATGCTTTGCATTGAAATGTTAAGTAAATACATTTTATTGCTTCAAAATTGCAAGAGTTTTTACGCATAATAAGGAAGGGATGAAAAAAATGGACATATCATTCCATACAAAAGGTCTAAGTAGAAAAAAAAATCAAACATTACGAAGTGGTTTGTCAACTCGTCTTGGATGTCTTCATCAAGTTCGCATCACCTTTTCATCAAACATCATTGCTTCAAATATTTTTATGGATCGATGCAGCCATAAGCGAGCCTCTATATTTCACATGGGGGCATATTTTGAAGTTTGATTAAATGAGTTGATAATGTGACAAGTAGTTTCTCTCCAGAATTAGGACAAACTACCGCAAAACCTCTTTCTCACCAAAGCCAAAACTACAGAGGAAGAGGTACAAAGTGTGATTCATCGCTAAGCTTCAATTAGAGGAAGATACACTAAGTGTTGTTCTCTCCAAAACTGCAATTGTAGAAGAAGATGCACTAAGTGTGGTTCGTCGCTAAAGCCGCAACTGCAAAAAAAAAGACGTTTCATGTGTGGTTTGTCATCAAAGCCGCAACTCTAAAAGAAGATGCACCACGTGTGGTCTGTCATCAAAGTCGCAACTGTAGAAGAAGATGTACTAATGTCATTCGTCGCTAAAGCCGAAATTGCAAAAGAAGATGCACCAAGTGTGGTTCGTCATCAAATTCACAACTACCAAAAAAGATGCATGATATGTGATTCATAATCAAAGTCACAACTGCAAAAGAAGATGCAATAAATATGGTTCATCGTCAAAGTCGCAATTGAAAAGGAAGAAGCATCATGCGTGGTTGGTCATCAAATGTGCAATTGTAGAAGAAGATGCACTAAGTGTGGTTCATTACTAAAGTTGCAACTTTAAAAGTAAATGCATCAAGTGTAGTTCGTCGTCAAAGCGGCAATTGCAAAAGAAGATCATGAAGTGTGGTTCGTCTTCATTAATGCCACAATCGCTAAAATATTGCACCATGAATGATTCGCCGTAAAAAATCGCAACTACAAATGAAGATGCATTTAGTGATTCCTCGTCAATTATGGATTAACCCTCTTTTTTTTGTATGGAATTGAGAATGTTTGTGGTCCATCATAAACCTGTAAAACAAAGTGGTGTGTCTC